GGCCAGCCCAAGAGTTTGAACTGTTTAGGGAACCATGGAATGATAAATAAGGCATTTAGGGCAGACAGTCTATTCTAGGGGAAAGTGCATAAGTAGAAAGCATAGTACATTGAAGGAACACAGGTAATTATGCCAAAGTCTTGGCAAAGATGCCTGGTGGGTTCTAACAGGCCAGGGAGAGAAGGAGGGAGGAAGCCAGGATCCAGTGGGAGGGGGTGTGAAGAGATTCCTGGAATACAGGTCTAGCCCTAGGATAAGGGATGGTTAGCACACAACTGCACTTTGGTTTAGGGTGGCCGATGGGGTTGGGAGCCTGACTCTGGGATTTGACAACAGGAAGCTGCTGAGGACTAGGCAGGTGTTTTAGGGCCCCGCTGAGCTGGAATTCAGGGCAGTGCTCCAGTGCCCATGGGAAGGAGGAATACTAAGCTGTTAGAGGCACACAATGAGGTGGCCTGGGGTTGTAACTCAGTGGCTCAGTGAGTTCCTAGGGTTTGCCTTGGCACAGCCCTCATGGAGATGGGGCTTTTCATGGCCCCTACTAAGGTGAGAAAAAACTCAGGAACTAGGAGCACTGAGGCTGAAGGTGCCTCTATGATCCTAGCCAAGGCAGGTGAGGACTGGCTAGCCCCCAGACTGCCCCCATTACAGTGAGTAAGGAAAGAAAGGTAGGCTGAGTTCGGATGTGGATGGCTTTGAATGCCAAGTTAAGGGTCATGGCTTTCTTCTGAAAAGAAGGGAAACTAGCCAAGATTTTAAAATTATTATTAGAAAGCTGTCATTTGCAGACTTTTGGATTTCATGGACCAATATTATTTCAAAAAAAAAATATTTTTTTCTTTTGACCGACTGGAATAAGGTTGTAAACATTTTAGAAAACTAACCACCAATTACTATCCCAATCATTTTAAAAACTAGGAAAGATGGTTTTAGAAAAAAAAGCACAGTTCTTCCCAAGAGTAGTTGACAACTATAAATAACATCTAGTTTTACCTGTACACATACATTTCTCTGGGTGTGTGAGTGTGAGTAGTTGTGTGTGTGTATCATTGCCCTTATTTTTCTCATTTCACTATCCATTGATGAAAATGGTAACATTTGTTTTGTACATCCTAAATCTCATGACAGTAAACACTATGGGAACAAAAAGATTCCCCAGATCAAATGATCATTCTAGGATCTATATCTGATTCAACAAAATACCAGTTCCTTAGAGAGGAATAGTCCCTTGGATTTTATATTACAATAGAATTTGGCCTGTATCCAACCTCGGAGAATTTCTTGTGTGTATGTCTTTTAAACAGTTTTCTTAACAATTTAAAGCAACTCCAAATAGTTGCTGTTGAACTCTTTTAAAAAAAAAAACTAGTTGTTTCCTCTTAAGCAGATACAATCATAGGAGTGAATTGTCCAGCAGTCACTTGGGCAATTTTCAAGGCAGCACATTTACATGCCCCACATTCTTGGTGTGAAAGCCGTACGAGTTGTAGCTGTCCATTGGTAAATGCTTTTGAGAGTGATAATTATTATCAACAAACCTCTTTTGGTAAGATTTTTAGAAAAGATTATTTTCTAAAAATTTGAAACACTTTTCAAATAGTATTATTTCATGACATTTAAAAAAACAACCTTTTTTTTATGAGACAAATTCAGTATTTGTACTAATAAACTGCTTCCTAAGCTGAATGTGATTCACTGTTTACCAAGAGGCTTGACTGCAGTCAACTCTTTAATGTTTTAACTTTAAATCATAATTTTCAGGTTATATAATTAAACTTAAAGAACAAACAATTGTTTTAAATCAGTCCGCTCATACTGTACTTTAAGGACAAATTAAATATCATGGTAGTGATAGTAATAAAATTCTACCATAATACCTGAGCACAAAGCAACTATCCTACCCTTTTTCAAACTCACTTCCCATTGTGAAAAAAGAAAAGAATTCAATATTTTCAGTCCATGTTTTTGATGTTAACATGGTTGACGTGCTCATTTGGCAAGTTTTTACAGAATTCCTGCCATGTGCCAGGCACTGTCCTTAGCCTCTGGCCTCCTGAACTGGCATCTTAGTAATGAGAGACTGACAGTAAACTCACAGTTATATGTCAAGTGGTGAAAAATAAAGCAGGACAAGGGGATAGAGGGTTCTGGGGGTAGCAAGTCTTGCTCTTTTATAAAGGGTGGTTAGGAAAAAACTTTCTGATGAATGACATTCAAACAGAGACCAGAAGGAAGTACAGAGTAGCTCATGCAGCTGTCCAGGGGAAGAGCATTTCAGACAGAGGGCACAGTAAGTACAGAGGCCCCAAGGCAGGGTCCAGTGATGTGTTCTTGGTGTGAGCTGATGTGTTCCAAGAGGAGCAAGGAGATCAGAGCATCCGGAGCAGAGTAAGTGAGGGTGGAGGTCATACGAGAGAAGGTTAGGGGGTGAGTGGGTCAGATATATGAGGGCCTTGTGGGCCATGGGAGGGGCTGCGATTTTACTCTGAACTTCATGGGAGCTATCAGAGGATTTTGAGCATGTTGGAGTCTTGGCGTGACTTACATTCTAG